AATATTATAATAAATAGCCTATTTTTTCCATAATCTATATATCCCTACATGTTATGCACATTTTGTGTATTTTCTCAGTTTCAAATTGCCTATAAAGGTCGAGCAGATCATATATCGGACTTTGTACGTTTCTAGTGCTGTTCTAGAATTAGAACGAGAGTATGTACTCTGTTTTTGGCATAATTTATATACTCCTACATATTATGCACATTTTGTGTATTTTCTGAGTTTCAAATTTTCCGCAAAGGTCGGGGAGATCATATATCGGACTCATGTTCTGCCCTTAGTCCTGTTCTAGAATTGGAATGAGAGTATGTACAAATGTATCTACAAATGTACATGTACGTAGTTGAAGATGGAGTAGGAAAACCAAGCAAGATTCGTATCGTTATCTAGTTTTGCCACTAGACAGTGACTCATGAAAGCATTTGAATACTTGCCATGGACAGCTTTTATGAATATATTATGTCTATGTTATATGAAACCTTTTGAAATTTCAATAACACCGTAATGAGATTCGAATATCATGATCGCGCTGGTATTGAAATCAATCTGAAAATATACGTCACGGAAGATATACTAATATAAGAATGTAAGTTTCTCAACATCTTGAAGATTTATTGTACTTCACACAACGATTACTGTGCATGTGTATGTGTGTGTGTATGAACATTTGGGGAAGTGAAAATAAAAAATGATACGAATGGATCAACGTGTTTTTGTTTGGTCTTGACTAATTACAGAAAGGTTCCTATTGACTAATCGACTATGGTGAAAAAGCAAGGGACGTGGAGCTGACAGCAGGTAAAAATGTGGCGAAAGAACGAATCAGGGATTTTCTTGACTTGGTCAATGGTGTTGGTTAGGGTCGTATATCTAAAGAATAAATATTTGTATGTCGCTCTACCGATTCTTGATATGTATCAAATTTGTCTCTCAAGTTAAAAAAGAAAAAAAAATAGTTTATAATATAAATAATCCTCTTAAACGAGCAATTACTGTTAAGGATTGTTCTATAAAACATTGACGTTTATGAATGTAATACACATTTAACTGTTCAAATACTTTAGCAAACATTGTGAAATGTATAATATGTTTGTAATAACTATCTTGTAACTTCGATATATATCTGTATGTACATTTTCGGTTTTGTTTTAACCTTTACCAAATACAGTCATCCTACTCGTATCTCATTACAGCGCTGATGAAATTTTAATATATTTTGTATAACATACAACATTCATAATATGATTTCATAAATGTTCAAATATTTCCATAATAACTATACGTTCAAATTTCTTTCTCTTTTTCTCGCTTTGTAACTTACTAGAATTTAATTCTAATTGGATAAAAACACGATTCATTAATTAATGAGCGAAACACAGTATCGCATGTGCGACCCCGATTCTTCTAATGAATTTCGATTTTTCATTCATGCGAATATTATGCATTTGTCAATTGCCCGCGATGGAAGTACATCATGATGTATCTACATCGATGACACGTGTTTAATCGCACTTGGATGGGAATCCGTTCGATTATCGGTTACGTTTGAACCGGAGTCGAATCATTTGACGTAAACCAAAACCACCCGTAAGCGTCATTCGTGCAATTGTAAACATTTTCCATCGATACATTTGTCTACAAATATCAAACAGAGCGCAAAATAATCAGTTGACACTTTGATCCTGCGGAAACGAAGCGCATTGGTTGGAAAAAAATAGAAAAGTAAAGTTTCTGTCTTCAATTACGATCGGCTAGATTATTTTAGTTCGAGGAGGTTCGACGTGTCTTCGAAGGTAATTCAGCGGAAGACCACGTCGAAGATCGTCGGGGAAAATGAAGGGGAAAATGAAATTCTCCCCATTGTACGGGAAGTTTCTCAATCTCGCTGGACGCGACTGTCCTTTTATCACGCCGGTAATTAACTGCCTAACAATTTTTCTCAACTACAACGCTCAATTTAAACTTTATTAATGAAGGGACCACGCCTCATTAAGCCGCCGCCCTTAATGACGAACGACCATCTAATCCTAGCACGATTATCGTGTTTACCTCATTTCCCGAACGAGAGCTCCAAAATTTCCAGAATATTTCGCTTATTATACCGCTCGGTTATGACCCGACTACGATATACAAGTATCGATGAAACGAGAGGTCGAACGTACACGATTCTTCCCTTTAAACTCTGAAGAAAATTTTACGAGTATTCTTAAAACGTTGTTAAAACAAACTCTCCGAAAAGGGGGTCGGTGAATTTATTTATGAGAAAACAGTCGAACCGTGCGCCACTCGAGATCAGGAACGATGGTAAAAGCGAAGTTCGACCCAGTGTTTTCTAATTGTTGAGATATTCGGTTTCGCGAGTTGTCCGATGAAGCGACGATAATTCGTGCAATTTACAACCAGGAGAAACGGAAAGAAGGAACCCTGCTATGTGCGCGGGCTCGTATATCCGTGTTATATACATTTTCATGTCGGAAATCGTGAACATTAATTTTTCGCCATCTAAAGTTTCCATTCACAGGATTCTAGCGTTTTAGAATCCACCAAGATTTAGAAGTAACTTTATGGATATTTTCGTTTAGGGATTTTTTGAGACGCATTTGTTGGTTCTGTTTCGGTGTGTTGTATAAAGGGGAGCGATTCATTGTCATACAGGAGCAGGATCAAACATACATATACTACTATTTTAGCGGATTCTCTTCGCCGCCTCCTCCTTTTTCCTTTTTCTTAGTCTCTGCTATTCTTCCTTTCTCTTAGTCGCCGCCACCCTTCCTTTTTCTTCCACCTCTTCCCTTTCTTCCCTTGCCCCATTTTGTTTTTCTCCCTTTCATTTCTATTTTCGACCCTCCTACCATTAGTTTCTTCCCTTTTCCATTCCTTGTTACACCTCATTTCCATTCTTTCCTTTTTTCCTCTAGCTCTCTCCTATACTTTTTCCTCTTGTTTCCTTCTTTTGCTCTTCACCCTTCCATCTTTCTTCCTTTTCTTTCCCTCTTTTTTTCTTTCCCACCCTTCGCACACCTTCTTGCCGTTCCTCTTCTCTCCCATTTTTTTCCCGTTTTCAATCTCAAGCGATGAATACATAAGGATTTATTATAGTATACTAACAGCATCATTCGCTACTCTCGACATCGACGAACTGTACAATGTGTCTAAAAATACTTAATCTGCCAAATCAACCGCGATTACGATAGGGTGAATGTTCATAAATTGTTCATAAATTGCGAATTTTACCTGATACCGGCTCCTGAAAACAGGGCCATAAACTTAACGGCGAAATTCTCAAGTTCGTCGAACGATGCCCATAAACTCATGCCCTCTCGTTCATTCAACCTCTGCAGACCATCGAAAATGTAATTGCCTCTTTTTGTCGAGCTCGTATTTCCACTTGGTTCCACTCATGCCGGCTATTCCGCGTGTTTCATTCCATCTGGTATAAACGTTTCGTTGCACTTTCCCGATATCGTAACATTCTACCTCTCATCCGACCATATTCCAACTGGAAAATAATATCATGTACACACGTGCAAAGATTTATATACACACGTGTATATGTACGTACATCTTCAATTTGCGTGTAATTAAAATATTTTATTGCGTTCGAACGACCATTCGTAAATTACGAATTTCCATCGATTTCTGAAAGTCACGTTTCCCAGAAGATGTTCACGTGATATACACGTATCTTTTCTTGCTACGAAAGATTTCATCGGTCCGTGAAAAGCAATTTAATAATAGATTCGCTCAAGTGGTTCACACCGAATGGTTCAACCTTGTGACCTGGTTCTCAGGGATGAAAGTCGCGGCAGTCAGCTGTTCGAAAATGTTCATATCGGGCTACATAAGGTGTCCTAGGTCTTAACAGCCAAACTTTGTACGTCTGTTCTTTACCTTCCAAGAATAAAACAATATACACACGCTATGTATATACAGGCTCAAGTATGATAATTACGACTGATGATATTAACATTGAGCAAGTTTCTTTTGTTTCGATCGATAGGAATTATATCCTCGTAAATAATTATGGCTGTAATAAAATAATTACAACGATAACATCGTTCATCGCGTCGGTAATAATGAGCTTAACGATTGTTCATAACCGAATTTGGCCAATCACGAGGTAAATTACTTATTTACAGGCAAGAACCGCAATTTTGCTCCGGTTTCGATGAAATTTTGTAGGCTTAAAGAACAGCCAAAAGCGCGCTTCTTCTTACTAGCGACACCTCAAGTTTAAAGGGTGAAACCATCCTCCAATATCCGATCCCTTATGGGAAGCCGATGGGAAAATATTTATTAATAAAAATAGAATGTTTTTTAACGTGTTAGGAGAAAGTACTAGTCAACGAACGATTCTCGAAAGTGTATAAAACACCTACATCCAAAATCCTCCATCTAAAATCCTCCATCTAAAATCCTCCATCTAAATTCTCAGCCAAATTTTAATCCCGAGCTTTGCTTGTTAGCCCGACTCAAATAACCGTAATTTACCCTACTGACAAAGTCTGACTGTTAAATATCGGGACATCCTGTACAGGACACGGAATATACGTATGCACCGCAAGATCCTCGAGAACTATACTTCACCAACTGGTTCGTGCATACACAGAACCGTCCCAATAATACCGAAAATTGATTCAAGTACGTCGTTGCATGGTTCAACGACAACTCCACGTACCGCCATTCAATGATTCTCTTTCATCATTTACATATTTTGAGACCTCGAGAAAGATCATCGATTTTTATATCGATTCGACAAAATGCATTTTTCCCCCGTATTCGAAGGCAAAATATGGTAAATGTGATTGCCTCTTATTTCGAGGTAACTGATTTCCGTGAAACGCATACGATGTATTTGCTTAGCAATACAAATTTTTCGCTGTGTGACAATTTTAATTGAATTGATTGCGGAGGTTCGTTCGAGTGGAGCACGTGATCCGAGACGAAATCGAGCGGCTGCCAATTGGCGAGCAGATTGCCAACAGAAAAAGATGAAGAGGCTCGATCGGCAGTGCGTTTGTTCGTATTACGATCTCCGGCTGGACTTTTTCCCGCAAAACCTTCAAAATTCACGGCTTATTCCACAAATTCTTCATCTTCTTTAGTTTGTCTTGAAAACCAAACGAATCCATCATGTGCGATCATTGCGCGTAAGTCTCGAAATTAATCGAAAAATGATTGTAAACCTATTAGGGTGATTTAACGAGCAATGCCGGCTCTTATCTTGCATTCTGAATTTCTAAGAATGACAGAATTTGTTTAGAGCCACTTAATGCGTAAAAACTAAAAAGTTAAGCAGCCTCTTTTCGTCCTACAGAAAAGTTACGAGCCAAAAGGGATACGCAGGACAAGTGACGTGCAAATGCGACCAGTTAGTATATATATATACCTCTCTAAGATTCCTTGATCGTTCAGAAGTTCCGTGTTGCAATAAACTTTCGTGTGTTACGTTCACAGCGGCGAGAAGAAGAACGGCGAGGCCAAGGAAAAGGATTTCGGTGGATGTTGCTCGAAGAAGTACGATGTCTATATTTTCTATTAACATCCTTAATAGTTTTTAAAATGCTAGAATGCGAGTGTTTATGGGAAATTTAGAGATGTAGAAATGTACGGAATATAAATAATACGAATATATATCTCGCGTGTACTATATTTCAAACGTGACACAACTCAAACGAGCTTTTCAACAAAAACGAAAATTTATTTGGAAGCTTATAAAAAATTACTTTTTTCCATACAATGTTCACGAAAAGAATACATCGTTGCAACCAATGATCGAACATTATTTTCGTAGTTTTTGAAATTTCCCTCTGATACTGCGGTTTTGATGTTTTTCTAGCACAGGGTTGAATTATGTTGAATCGTAACATTTTTGAAATGTACACTTTTATGGTATGAAATATCAAGCGAAAGAAACCTCTATTCAGGTCCCATTTTTTTAAATTATTATTATTCCATTACTATTTCCATATTCTCCACAAGAATTTGCATAAACATCCGCAGCCTGTTAGTATTTTATACGCTCAGGAGCCATGATGATTAACTTCATAAATTGAAACGCACAGAAAGATGACAATTACAAACATTATCTTGCAAAATATGGCTTGAAATTTCCAATTATTTGTATCGCTTACATTATTGAAAACAAGTCCTTCGATTAAATCGCTAAATCGTTGAATATTAATTATGTACCTGATTACTAAAATTAAGGTCTTCGTGTAAAACGAAATTGATTAGTTCGGCTATCGAAAGTCTCATTTATTAATCGTTATTGCAGCCATTAGTATTTCCAACATTTTATCGTACTTCCTATATTATATGAGTACTTCCTGTATGGCCGCCAGCATGAGAAAATTAAAGATGAAAGAACAAAACAAAAAAAAAAAAAAGATAAGATCTAGAATCTTAAGAATGAAATAGGTTAAAAAACAGAATGAAGTTTGGGGCAGCAGAGCGGTGGTTTAATCGGACACTTAAGTCGTGCGTTTAATCGAATTACCCGACTGAATGTGCAGAGAGAAAAAGACAATCGGCGGATGTTGCGGAGCTAAATGCTGCGCGGGACCGCAGGAGGAAGGAGGGTGTTGTACCGGAGGTATATCGCCACCACCGAAGGAGAAATTATGCTGTGGCCAAGAAAACTAACCGAGTTTTCTTCCTAAGGAAGCCTTTAAGAAAGAGCTGGCTTCAGAGGGGAAGAGCCAACCGGTAAACATTATAAGCGTTAAGCGACGGGCTCGGCGGCCATATAGGTACACGGTAATAGTTCCAAAGGGAATCATTGAATTTACGCGACGCACCATCGTAAATTTTTTCCACCCGGATACACGAATCGACAGAAAGTACTTCACGTAACAAACTATAAATATACTTTCGCAATTCGAAAATGTCGGGTAAGCGAAACCGTAGCATAAAAAATAAAAAAAAAAAAAACAGCGGGGGAGGTTTACTGCGAATTTATTGGAATTAGGACATCTTTTGACTTTACGAATTCTACCATTCCTAGGGAAATAAGATGCAAATTCATGCCGTTTTTCAGGGCGAGAGAGGCAGCCGGTGGGTGTTGCATGTCCGGCTGTTGCAAGGATAAAGCGAAGCAGAAGGAACCGGAAGCTCCCCCGAAATGTTGCGCAGATCGTAAATGATATCTCCCTGTAGATAAATAAAAAAAATTCCGAGTCTCTATACCGACCAATGTAATATCACTTCTTCAACAATAAACGATGCTTTGATATATGTATTTACGATTATGTGCATCTTTGTTACTATGGAAACTTAACCTTGTACGCATGAGTAGACTGGGGATTTTTATGAATGTGTGGAAAATTAAACATAATATGTAAAAATGTATAAAGTATCTAAAGTGAAGTGATATATATATATGTCTAAATTCTATAGTTATAGTTAATAAAAATATGAATTTGTACAAACATACGCAGTCAACTACTATCGAAATTATCCGGCAGCACGCGTCATTGAGATTTTACGGAACCTCCAAATTCTTCGAGTATAATGTGTGACCACTGCAGGTATACTTTTTTTCTTTTATAAACTATATGGGCGATTTGGTAGAGGAGCGCGCCGCGATCATTTTGTTTGATTTATTTCATTATTACTCGTGCCCTCGGACTTTTAAACTTAGAATTAATTTTTAATAAATGTTTCCAAATTGACGATTTTTACGATGTGTCATTCCGTTGGAAAATCGTAAATCGTTTTTAAACTTTCAGAACTTTCAAACCGCTGCTTGAAGGGGCGGACACCACGAGATATTATGAAAGGGACAGACCAACTATCAGCCAGACACCACCAAGAAATAACGTGATGCCACCACGAAATAGCATGGCACCTCGATCGTGAGATTACTTCTCCTTACAATTGGAGAGTTCCTAACAAAAGTGATCCTTGATCTAAATTTTATCGCAGAATGTGGATGCTTATACGTTAGTGAAAAATTGAAATACTCAAACATGTATAGGATGAACGTAATACGGAAAAATATATAAAATATCCAAAACGAAGTATTTACAACGTTCAAACTATGAAACAAACCGCTATTTAGATCCTACCTTTTTACCTGTTCGAACACAGAAAGAAACGCACGAGAATTTTCATTCTCACGATAACTCAGGTCATGGATCATTTTTCATAACACGGATTCCGCATGTTGTTCTTCTCGTTTCTTTCTACTATAACGCATTATAATTTACATAAAAAAATCCACAACTTTGACAAGGGTCGTTTTCGTCGTAAGCGCCCCAATTCTTTCTAAGTTCCCTCGCAAAACGAATTTTACGTAGAATGTTTCCATACTGGGTGATATTTCCACGTGGAAAAACTGGTTCCTAGATAATAGAAACATTCGCTATTTACGATAGGCCGTCCGATGTCACCAGCAGAAGTTGCTGTTCATGGAGGCGGACCTGCTGCGATGGAGTGTGCTGCAATCGCGTTGGAAACTGCTGCGCCCCTGAATCGGAAACTCGGTATCGACCGGTTGAAAAACCTGTGCCCACTTATGGCTACGATTATGGCCAGCCGGCGATAGCGAGTTATCCCGTCGGAACGCCCGGTAAGTGTCGTAACATTTGCAACAAATTCACCGTTAATGCCCGGTCTCTCTGGCCGAAATTCGGAGGAATCGTCGGCCGAAATTCGGAGGAATCGTCGGCCAAAATCGTGTTCCTAATTGAGCATTTCGTCGTTTTCGGAGACGACCTTCTAGAGGGATAGTTCGCAGGTGGACCCAAGGGGAAATTAGCTTTTCCCTTACGTTCACGTCGTTTTTTTGCGAAGGACCTGGTTTTATAAGGATCAAAGACTTAGTATCAAAAATTGTCTGCAATTCTCAGAGAACGTACAAGGAACTCTGACTCGGTTTCTTGGAGAAGAAACGAAGTTTCTGGGTCGCCGGTCTGCCACTTCAAACATACATTTTCGTTCTCATCCCTTTTTACAATTAAAATCAACTGTGGAATCTTTCAGCCGGAATCGAAAGTTTTCTCAGCTTCTTTTGTATTCCCACGGAGAAAGCTCGAGGCTGTTTAAGTTTGCCCACGGAACGTCGTAGCGATAACATCGGAGTACCGGAAAGGGAGGAATTAATTCGCGCGCTATGCAACTCCGATAGGCTCGTCGACGCCGATGCCAAGATGTTAATTCAAACGAGCTTTTGAACAAGCTGTTCGCGAGTTAGCCACCAGGATAATGGAGTTACGCGAATCATCACGAGGTCCGAGCCAATTCGACAAAAGCTTGAAGGAACCGGAATCGATTTACGCAGAGTATCGAGCCGGCTGAGTTAACTGCAACCTCGTCCAATCGCCAATCGATTAATCTCGGTCCGCCTTTTTCATCGTATTAACCAAATCGTATCAGTGACGATGACGATCGATCAGTGAGAAAAGAATTCTTTGAATTATACGTAGCAGCTGTATATATGTAGAGTGAAAGTGGCAATTCGTACGAATAACGAGTGACACCTGTTCATAAGGGCACTTACAGAAGAATGGGATAAAACCTGACACACCGCTAGAAAATGATCAATCCTCGTCTGGAACGTTGGACTGTAAAGAATTTATATGCTCAACGCCGTAATAGAAAATGTACCGTCAAAATAAATAAACAAGTAAAATAGCCGCAGTTAAAATAGTCAATGGTAAAAGACCCGATAGATAGGTCCAATTAAAATAATCAAAGTTAATAGGTTCGATATACACGTAAATAGCCAGATATGTGGCGCAACAATATATAAATAAACAATCTATTCCCATATATGACAGATATTCCCTATACGCTATACTATTACTATAATATATCGAGTAAAAGCCATTCTGAAATTCAACACTCCTACGATAGTCTAAACAATTTTTCTTATCAGGCGCCATGATGCCAGACAGAGTGCCGTGTCCTACGCGCAAGGAGAAGCTACCTATGTGTTTCGGAGGCGACTGCCAAGATTCCGAATGCACAGGCCAACCGGACGTAAACGAGTCGACACCGAGGCAATCGGAGCGATAAGGAATTAGTCTCGACTGAGAATCTTGATTAAATAAGCACGACCTCGTTCCTCGACGAGACAAAACCTCCAAAATGACAAGTGACGTGGTTAAATTCCAACAAAAAATTCCCAACAACGATTATTATTTCTTTGTGAAACGCGAAACTTCCTCTTTGGCTCCCTACTTCGCATGTATACTTTGAGGGGCGAAATAAAATTTCCCTAGGGATAAAATGAAATAAATTGATTCCGTTCTCCATTGTTTCGCGAGTATAAAGTTAAACGATTATTGTAAGGTAAAAAGCAATTGTTTCGTGGAAGTTAAAGAACAAAGGATGTATTGGAAGGAATGAATAATTATATTTGTAGTAGCTGTTAACTTCGCTGCGGGCTGAATTATTCTATGACCTCTTGTTCGAGCGTTTGCCGTTTGTTCAACGTTGCAACTGCTTCCATTTAGGGGTATTGTAACATTACTTTCCATCAACTTGCTAATTCAAAAATGAATTCACGAGGAAAAGATTTACGATCATTTGTTTTCTATGGTCGAGAAACGTTATCGCGTTAGGTTTACATTTCATAATTCTAAAATATAATATTTTAAAGTCCGATATCTTCGGAAACAATCTGTGCCCGTATGATTACTTGAAAGAGTAATTACAAAAAGAAATTCACTCTCTGAATTTCGCTGTAGATGTTGATATTGATAAATCTCTTCGTAGAACGAATTGTTTTATGAGTTTCTAAATGCGGAGTGAATCAAAAAGGTCGCTGATTATCAGAATCCTTGGCCTCGTCTTCCTATTTCATGCTTGATTTCTTCCTCAATATAACGCAAAAAAAGTTACATGAATCGATCACACGACAATATCTTGGAGATGAAAGGAGATATTTTTGAATACAACGTTCGTGCTTAATAAACTGGATATCTTCGTAACCGAAAAAATCGTGCCAGCATATTTGGCATTCCACCATTTGCATGAAAACTTTCTATACGTATTATACTATACTTTCTTATTCTATACTTTCACGATCAACTATATCTGAACTGTTCACAGATCAAACTGATTCTAACTCCACTTTCGGATATCTTTTATATTTTAACGCCAAGGCACTTTGATCGATGCTTATCTTGTATAATTTTTCCGACTTTCTTCACATTTTCTTTCACGGAGTTAACCGATTTGGCGAATAAGCGGCTTATTTGTACCAACGTTTCTTGGATCAAATAAATCACGTTAGCTGGCATTCTGACTGCAGAGAGTTAAAAATATATTAGCGTTGGCCATATTGTTATGCACGATCTGCGAAACGGTCGCGACAAAGGATCTGATGAAACGCTAACAAGGAAACGTTTCGGTTTCGATATCCCTCGACGCGCTCCATAAATTTTTTCTGCGATCTTCTAACGAGGCAAATAGCCGCGTAAAGGATAACGATGACGTAAAATGATCGTAATAGCTGTCGTAAAGCAGTAGGCGCTTCATAATTGTATAGCGAACATGAACATGGGTTAACTGAGCAAATGATCCGTCTTGCCTATACTTTTCTTGGCCTTTCGTCTAGGTACATAAAACCAAAGAGAAACTAACATTTTTGTGCGTCCATCGACGTGTGTACATCCTTGATAAAACTAGGCGTAGATATAGTGTAACAATTATAGCGAACTATATGTGGGCTAATTAAATAAGCGATACACATATTTTAGTCCTATGTTTCCCTTGGCCTCTATATAAAATAAAACGAGCGAAAAGAATTTGTCACGTGTTTTTCCTTAACGAAGCTAGAATTAAATGTAATAAACTCAAACGTGGTTTAACTGAACAAATGATTCACCTTTCGTACAGCTTTCGTTTCTCGGTTTATACATGAGACGAAAAAGAAAAACGAAAAACCAAAAACGAAAAATTTCGTTCCGCCACGATCTTTCGCGTGTTTTTCCCTAACAAAGCTGAAATTAAATGTAATAAACGCGAACGTAGGTTAACCAAGCAAATGATTCATCTTTCTTACAGCCTTCCTTTCTTGCCCTCTACATAAAGCGAAGTTAAAGTAAACTGAAAGTTTTTGTTCGGCTGCAAGTCGACGTGTGTTCATTTTTAACGAAGCTAGAATTAATCATCAAGCGATGTCACCTTCCTCATTCGGCGAGATTCACTCAAAGCTATGCCCCAATTCATCCGCCGTCCATTCATCAAAGCACAAGACCCTCTTATCGACTCCAAAATAAGCGGAAACTGGGCCAAAGTAACGACTGGCGATCGTACAGCAACTCGCAAGACATATCCTGCAAACAAGACGTCATACGTGCCGCATTTTCGCCAGATCTTTCAACCTTCTTCTATATTCCGATGCATCGCCCACTTTCGCCTCGTAGTCGGGAATCCGGAATCATCGCATTTGATTTTCTAATTTGCTAGTCGGGGAAACACGCGTCACGTTGGGTCGCTGTGGAGCTGGGGGAAGACCGCAAGACCAGCATTCTCGGCGAAATACCCGCTATCTCTGCCAGACATACTTTAAGCTTTCGCTCTTGATTCCCGCCACAGACTGTCGCGACAGCTTCAATTTGCTTCGAAGCTTCATGCTTTATGCAACCACTGCTATTATCCTCCGTCTATCGAAACAATTCTCCCTTGAAATCGAGAAAAATCCATTGGCCATCCTGGACTCGCCGAATCCGGAATTTTAAACGTCGTTGCTAGATAAATCGAATGATAAGAGCGTGTGTGAAGCGGATGCGTGCAGTTGCGAACGGTGCACAACGATTGTGCACAGTGGCTGGACGTAGGTAGAAGTGCGTGAGCATCGGAAGGGCGTCGCGGCGAGGGTGCCGTTGAATGCGGAGCGCACGCGCTACGGGAACAGAGGTTTGGGGCCACGCGGCGGCACCAGTCCGCTCCTCTCAAACCGCGAAACACGTCCCGGCGCCCTCGAGGACGAGAATCGCGAGTGGCCAGCTCTCTCTTTCTTTCCCTCTCCCTCTCTGTCTCTATGTTTCTCCATTGATTCTTTTACATTTTTGTTTCTTACTACAATTAACCGTGAAAGTATACCTGTGAAGAGTAGTTTTCGAAGGAGTTCCTGTATCGCGCGTTCATCCGTATCTCCGGAAGTTGTCTCTTGGTATCATGATCCTCTATCGCTCGTACGGGCCCCCCGACAATGACGACGGCAACGAAAGGATCACGACGACGAGCACGACGATCCTGACGTTCCGTTCGTCGACGAGATTCAGCGAAGCGTAGGGCCACCGTAAGTGCGTGTCGTACAGAGCAAGACAACTTTGAGTCACCGGAACCGCCGTGTGCCACAGTTACACGGTAATTAACGCGTCTTCGAAGTGCTAATGTCTATACACATGTCTCCGTGTTTCGTTCGACGTCCCGATTCAGTGTTCCCCTCGAAGAGGAGAAGAAACTTTCGAAAGACACTCGTTTCTGCTGAAGCACGATAGGTGCCTTTGTTCCAGAGGAAGTTGCAAGTAGGAAGACTTACCGGAGAAGTGTTTCTGGAAGGAAGCTATCAGGTTTGCAACTTCTCCGATACGAAGTGAGCAACCTTCGAAGTTAATTAGCCATCCAACGGATCGACCTTTTCGTTACGAGCCCGTTGTGAATGTTAGTGCCACTTCGTTAATTGCAAACAAATAGACCGTTATCAACATCGTCTTGCAAATTGCATACGACGATCTGTTGGAATCGTAGTTAGTCGGTTTGTCGAGACGTAAATTTACTCTTCCGGTAGATTGGTGGAAATTAGCCCGCGCGCGTGCCAGTTTCGAGTCGACGAGGGTACGTTACTCGAGGACACGACCACGGCTGTTCATTAAGTATTAATCGTTAACGAGTCACCGGCGGTTGGCGGTTCGTTAGCTACTTATACTTCGGTCTTTGAAGGAATTAAAGTTTCTGTCAGTGTTCAACGGTATCTGATAGCTGTCCCCGGCGATTTGAACGAGAACTCGAGGCTCGTTTTACACAGGGACACGTATCTTGTATTCCGGTCGATCTATCGGTAAACGGCGATCGAACCTCGATTAATTAAAAGTTTTCCACTTGCCCGCGAAATTCCGTTGTTTTCTCGTTATACGAGGCGTTCCGCTTGCGAAGAGGGTCGGAGGATTTGTTCAGAGGCGAAGCCAATAAATGGATCGAAGATTCTTCCGGTGGAGTTTCTATCGAAGAGGTAAACGCCGGATCGAATTGAACATAGATCTGGTATAAGTTGATGA